GTGTTGCTGTTTATTTTTCCTGTTAAAGCAAAGATAACAGTCCAATTAAATTGAACTGCCTCTGAAATATGAGCCTGACTTTACTGCTCACATAAACGCTTCGGTCAAATTCGCTGACTTTATCGACGTTGCAAAAACCTGGAACATCTTACACCACACGGCCGTAGTAAAGTTCTCCTCCATCGCTCGCACTGCTGCTGATGTGTTTTACTCGGGTGATTTCACTGAAGTCTGCTCACACTCAGATCTCCGTTCAGGAATGAGCAGATTGGGTCCAAATAACCTTCAAATAATAACCTGGATTTTTAAACATGTGACTGTAAATAATTAGTTAAATACATATTGACCAAAGCCAAGCCTAATTTAGCTAAAGTCAAATAAATAATTGAGAATTAAGATTAAGAAGTTTAAGCTTTAGTAAATAAAGTAAGATGAAAGCGTAGGTACAAATCCAGCAGGGGGCGCTAAGATCTGCCTTGTCGATCTCTTCAAGTATCCAGAGCCATGTATGAGTTAGCACTGAAAAGCACAAAACGACACAAAAGGGCAGTGAAAAAATAATCATCTTAGCTCGCAGGCTTTCAGGGCCTGCTTGTTCAGTGTATGTCAACGCAGCATAAATAATCTCGGGTTATTTTACTACAGGTTTGTAGTAAACACACTCGACCTTAGTGAAAAATTTTAAGTTCCTAAAATAATCCATGAATTAAACAAAAGAAAAAAGGCTACCATCCCTCTGAACTCCTCCCCCTCCTAAAAGGGTTTTGTCTGCATCGGGCTGGGTCCTTTTTTTTTTTTTATCACGCCGACTGTGAAGTGTGTTGTGATTTACAGAGAGTTAGATCAGTTGTTTTTTTCCTGAACGAGGTGTAAATGTTTATGAGTCACATCTAGAGAGAAAAGCACTGAAATAGCATCATTTCCATCACAGTGTGTGACCGTGTGTGTGTGTGTATGCACGTACGTGCGTCTTTTCTCCTCTGTTTGAACGTCTAAAGTGCTCAGTAATAATCCACCTCCATTCTCAACACTCTCTCTCCTGCTGTTCTGCAGATTTTTTTTTTCCAGTGACTGCTGCTGGATAAAAGCGTGTGAAGATGAAAAGATTCACACTTCTCTTCTTTTTATGGCCCGTTTAACTTTTCAATGGAACAAATGGACGAACATGAGACTAGTTTTAGATTCAACAATTTTCCATCTCTGACTTTGTGCCAAAAAAAAAACTAACATGGCTTATTCAGCTACAATCACTTAAAATGCACAAAAAAGTGAAACAGGGTCAACGTTAATCGAGTGTTAGCCGCCCGTTATTATCGCTACAAGATTATAGAGAACACGATTAAGGGCAAGGTTGAGGTGCTGTTAAGTGAAAATTATAAACTTTAAGAGATAATATCTTCAAGACATTAGTGTGCCACTTAATTCAAGCTTTACAAGCCAATTACACTCTGCTACATCAAACAGGTAACAGCTAACTAAAAGCTAACAACACTTACGGTAACTTATCCCTTACAAGTTGAGCCTGTTTCTTATTAGTCTTAGGAACTAATTAAGCTCAGCTGAGTCAAAACTGGTAAGAACAGAAATCTTAGTCACAGTTGATGTTAATGTCGATGTGAATATAGCATTAGCCAGACATTGTAAGCTTTAAAAACCAAAGAATTTAGGCTAAATCACAACCAAGGTTTACTATTGGAACACGTTTACATTCTATATATTATTAGTCACGTTGAATATCTTCATACACGTCGTTGAATTGACTAAATCATTTATCTAAGCCAACATCAACATTAGCTTTTGAATTAGCCACACATTTTCCACTCAACACTCAAGTTCAATGAAAAATCTAAGGATTAGGACAGAGTTAATGCAGCGTTAGGTAAAGCACATGGCATCGTCCTGTAAAATTAAAGAAATAAATCAAGGCCAATGATCAGCGCAATGTTTTTTTTTCTGACGTTGGTCAAACATTATACATCTGTAAAAGCTGTTATCTGTAAAATTAAGTGATGTAAAGGCCAGTGATTGGTCATTCAGTTATAGCAACGTCTTTTTAGCTTCATTGTATCCACCGTCCAGTTTTACAGTGCCACTTTACCTCCTGTCAGATTATCCTCCATCTAAACAATCTATATTTATTCATGTTTCTAAATGACAAGGTCCACAGCACAGAAACACTGAGTGTAGTGTTTAAAGCCGTTTGTCGGGTCCTCAGGGAGACTTCTCTGTCTTCTCGCATTTTCCTGTATCGACTGTTATTTTATGTTATTTTAAAACACTGATGAATATTTTAACACAGCTCGGCCTCATCAGCATTTGAAGCCGAGTGGATTATGAACAACTTCCTGAATAATGAAAATGTTGGAGGCGAAACGCCATGAAACTTGTATGATCAAAGGCCGAGTGCGTGTGTGTGTGTATGTGTGTTTTAACAATGAAGGCAGACTTAAACAACTTCCAGCTATTAAAGTGTGACTTATTGATGAGGCCACTGCAGCAGTCAGGAAAATTACAAAAAACGACACTTACAGGTACATGTGAGTTGCTGGCCCACTGCTGCCCCCTGTGGTCAGCTTGTCTTACCAATTTAAAGAGTTCTAACACATTTAAATTGGAGCAGTGGATCAACAACTGCTACGTCCCTTTGAGGTAAAACACTGATTTAATTAATGGACTTTGGTATGGAAGAGTGTGAAAAAATAAATGGTCACTTCACTTCTTTTATTAGTTACAAAGTTTTTTTTTTCCCTCAGATGTTTAACAGTAGCTAAATTCTTTCACTTTCAATCAATCAGTTCTCCTTCACAACAAAATCCACAGAGAAAATCATTGATTATAGCTAACGGGGACACAATGGTTGATTAGGTACTGCCTCCATCAGTAGCTTCAAACCTACCTGAGCATTAAAATTAGTCAGATACACCTCGGTGATGAAATCTGACCACAGGAGGCAGTAGTATTCCTGTGGGCTAAAATCACTGATTTTCTGCACGAGCCTGGAGTAATTGAAAGTAAAGTAAAAAGAAAAGTGGAGAAGCTTGGACTAAAACCAATGTTATTTTGCATTAACACTTTGCTGGTTTAACTTGAGCCAGAATGTAACTTTCTTCTCTAATATCATATCTTGTTCAGAAGCATGTAGCCTACATTCTGGTGAGTTGTTATTGAACAAAAAAACAAACAAACAAAAATCTAGTAGATAAATGAAACAGAAAATTTGACATTAGTGGCTGATGGTGAATTGGTACACATTCAAATGAATTCACAACTGACTAATTGTGGAATATTAATGATGAAATATGATAAAGAATTCTCATTAATGACTGTGTATGTTGGATGTGAGGCTGCAGCAGCTGCTTTTGTCTGAGCTTTGTACAAAAGCCCTTCATCAATAATTCAACAGTCAAAGTCATCAAACCTCCTGTTGTTTGATTAGACTCGCTGCGGCTGGTCCTCACAGTCATTCACAGCTCAGAGAAAATCACGGAGAGAAAATTAAAAAGACTGAAATCAGCCACACTAACACACTGGTCGTTTTTACAGTGCACAGCTTAGCTTAGCTACCTCTGAAATGTTTTGAAGTCAATGGTCAGATGTTTTTACTTTGTTAATTAACTTCATTAATTTGTTAACTCAGTGATTTGTTCATTCAGGATCAGCTCTTTGTCACTGACAGTAGTCTCTTCTCAAACCTTCCTGCAGCTGTGGAGTGTATTGAACTGTTGAAGCTCATCGTCAATAGAACAGCACTCAATGGCTTTTTTCACTGTGGGCGCCAAACACTGATTGGATAACATGTAGGTAAGCACCGATACTTATGCTAGTACTGACATTGGACCAAATACTCCTCGTTTCAAAAACTTGTACACTTGCTCTTACTTGACAGCATGTAAAGTAGTACTGTACTCTGTAAACAGGTTTTCACTACAACCAGCTCAACAGTCAGCCAATGTTGTGTGTTTCCCCCTGTTCCTGTCCTCATGTTAGTTTATTTGAGTAGGTCAATAATGTCATCAGTGTGGAGATATGTTAGCATCAAGGACAAAGACGGGAGCGTCAGAGACTTCAAACACAGTCTAAAGAAGTATCGCTGAAGGTACTTGGTGTGGGCGACTACACAAATAAAAATACTTTAGTCAGTTTGTAAAAGAAATGGTATCAGGACAACCCTAATAAATAACTAAATAATGAATAATATGTGATGTTCACCTTCAGAGGGAGCTAGTGAGCAGTGAGTGGGCATGAAAACTGGGCTTTAGCTTGATGATTGGAAGAAGTGTTTAAGATTTATTTACAATATTTTTTTATTGACAGCAGTTTGTCAGTCCTATGTGCAGTTTGTGAGAGAGGTCTAAAGACTGACTTCAGTCTGCTCTGTGCTGTTAGCTTGTTATATATATATATTTATTAATATATGTATATATACACACACATATGTATGTATATATATATACATATATGTGTGTGTATATATATACTATAACTATATATATGGACCATAAGCCACAACTTTTTAAAATTTGTGTAAAGGAATTAATGGAATATTTAAAAAGAAACCTAAAATGTGGAGTGTGGAGTTGGGGATCCAACAAACATATGTGGTCCATATGTTGTAGGCAGGATGTGGGCCATATTCGAGGGCTGGACAAACTTTTCCACCTGGTCACATCTGCTATCAAGAATTAAGATCAGTGTGGAACCTCCATTTGTTGGTCCAAGTCGCTCGTCTTATGAATTGTGTGTGTGTGTGTGTGTGTGTTTTCCATCTGCCTGTTGGAACAGTGGGAGAATGGAAGTGATAATTACACGAACATGCGTGGGTGGAGAGTGTGCACGTGAAGGGGTGGGGGGGTCTGACGAGACCGTTTTAAGTGCAGTTTTTCCTCTCTACGAGTCTGAGTATCTCTCTCTCTCTCTTTCCTCTCTCTCCTTTTCTTTCTGTCTCTCTCCCACTCTCTCGTGCTTTCTCTCTCAGCCCCCTCTCTTAGTGTCTCTCTCAGACTCTCTCTCCCCCCTCTCTCTTTCCTCCCCCTTTTCTTCATCCACGCGTGGATCATCATCACCATCACCATCTCCTGGGCTCTACAATCGCCAGGAGTTGCCGGAGCTGCTGCTGCTGCTTCTCCGTGTGCTTTGATTTTCCTTTCATCCATTTCCGTTCTTCTTTCTCATTCCGTTGAATTCCTGCGATGTTGTTTGGAGCAACAAGCGGCCGCGGCGGTGCGGCAGCAGCGGACGCGGCAGCGCAGCGCTCTTTTTCTCCTCCGCGGTGCTGACCGCTCCTGCTCCTCCTCCTCCTCCTCTTCCTCTTCACCTCCTTCTGGATTGGGCTCTGGTTCTTTTGTTCTCAGTTGTGGCTGCGGATCTTCACCACAATGAAGCCGCTTTCGTTGGATCAGTAAAAAGTCTCCAAAGTGTGTCTGTCGCTGCTGCTGCAGCAGCAACAGCTGCGTCTCCAGGCGGAGGCGCTTCGTTGGTGTCGGTTTTGTTGCTGCTGAGCCTCACTACCCGGATCGGGTGATCCGGATCAACCGGATCATGTGCCGCGGCTCTGACACGAACCCGTGCTCGGTGCCGCGGCTGTTGCTGCTTCTACTGCTGCTGCCGCTGCTGTTGGCCGCGGTCGCGCAAGAGATTTACGCGCCGCACTCCATCCGCGTGGAGGGAGACGTGACGCTGGGGGGGCTTTTCCCTGTGCACGCCCGAGGGCTCCCCGGGACTCCGTGCGGGGATATCAGGAAGGAGAATGGGATTCACCGTCTGGAGGCCATGATGTATGCGCTGGACCAGATCAATGGAGACGAGGAGCTGCTGCCTAACGTCACTCTTGGGGCGCGCGTCCTGGACACCTGCTCTCGGGACACGTACGCGCTGGAGCAGTCCCTGACGTTTGTACAAGCGCTGATCCAGAAGGACACATCCGACGTCAGGTGCACCAATGGAGAACCACCTGTCTTTGTCAAGCCCGAGAAGGTGGTGGGAGTAGTGGGTGCCTCTGCCAGCTCCGTGTCCATCATGGTGGCCAACATCTTGAGGTTGTTCCAGGTAAGAACTTCATCATTTCCATCATCAGCATGACCTCTATGAAATGATTCAATATCCTTGAGGATGAGAGGTAGGAACCATCTCGACCATCTTCATCCTCCTACTTGACACGTGAAGTTGTTCCAGGTAAAAATGTCTTCATCTCCATCAGTTTTTTTCAACATCCTGAGGTTGTTCCAGGGAAAGAACTCCATCATCACCATTAGTTTCATAAAATAACTCAGCTTTCCAATGGTAAGATCTACAATCTCTGATGATCTTACCTCAATCATTTTACTCAATAATCATCTGACCATTTTGTGGTTGTTCCAGGCAACACATTTATCATCAGCTTCATCTTCTCCATCATTATTCTCAGGTTGCTCCAGGTATGAACTTTCACCTTCATATTCATCGTCTTCATCATCGTGGTCACTGTCCTAACACATTTCTAGGGACAGAAGTTATCGTAAAGCTTATCATCATCATCATCATCATCATCATCAGTGCCCTTAGACCATCTGAGGTAAGATCTTCATTTCCAAACTATCTGATAATATTCGTAGAGTGTTGCAGGTATGAGCTTCATCATCGTCTTGGACATGCTCAGACTGTTCCTGGTACAAACTTATTACAGTCTACAGTTTTTTTTAGTTCTCTTTCACCTTCATTATATTCATCATGCTTGGTTGGTTGGTTGGTTGGTTGGATGGATTTCTGCTTGGTTGGTTGGTTGGTTGGTTGGTTGGTTGGCTTTCTGTATAATTGGTTGGTTGGGTGGTCGTTTTTTGTACATCACACGTTTGTTAGTTTGGAACTGAAACTGAAATCACTGAAATTTTTATAATTTTCTTTTTTCACTGAAACTGAAATCACTGAAATTTTTAATAATTTTATTTTAATCTTCAACCAGGATATGGTTATATGATATATTTTTTGATAATGAAGCACATATTAACTTTGTTTTTTTTTTAAGATAAACAAATTTATTTTTCTAATTATCTATGGTAATAAAACAACTGTCAAGATTATTTTTAGATTTTATTTCCACATTAAAAAAAAGAATCAAGATCCGTGGTTTGATTTTTTTAATTTTTTTTAAACATCATACAGCTGTCTGTGTTTTCATGATAAAAAACTCTGTATAAAATGTTTATTATACAGATCAGACCACACTTAAGAAAACCCAAACTGAAGCCTGTATCTAACGACAGCAAGAAAAAAACATTCCTCGGTGTCTGAGAAAAATTCTTCTGTTTCCGTCTGACTCATAAATCTCTGACACATTTCTAAAGTCATACTCATGGGGGCGTCTCAGTAGCAGCTGTTGCAGATTCGTCACAATGGTCTGTGCCGTGGGTGGAGTCACGCTGCAGAAAAAGCAAGAAAACACATGAAAAAAAAAGTCCACAGAGTCACGAACAGTTACATTTGTTCAAGGTTGAACTCCGTCCTTGAAGACTTTCTGACCTCATACCAAATGTGATGTCATCATCACAGGAAGCTACTGACTAATAACAAAGGTGATGTGAACATCACAAAGGTGCTGATATGATTGGACAGCAGTAGACATCATTATAACATTGTCACAGGATACTGATGATGCTGGCAACACCGTCGTGATGCTGTGACCTCATTGTGAAGCTGGTGACATCATCATGATGTTGGCGACATCACGGTGAAGCTGCTGAAATGTTGTGCTGGGATGAGTTTTTGTTTCTCAAGAGGAAAAGGAGAATAAAAATATCCCCTTTGATCTTCATAGATTTATATCCTGTCTCAACAGGCAGGGTTGTCAGGATGTGACAGTAATTGGGTCGTTAACTCGTTAGCTCGTTAGCTCATGTTTTTTATGATGTTGTTTACATTCTCTGACATGAACATCAAATGTTCCTGTCACATCAGTCTGTTTGTTTCCCTTCAGAAGATCAATGAAGATTTTTATCTTTCGACTGTTAATAAGTAAAAGAGCAAAGTTTCATAAACAGGCTCTGCCCTCTTTCTGTGTACGTGTGTGTGTTTGACTGTGTGTGTGTGTGTCTAAGATGAACAGCTGTGAGCAGACACCATCTTGTCATTTGTCGCAGTTTTAAAACTGACTTTTATCGATGTATGAAACAAGTTATTGCTGGTGAGCAGCCATATTGGATTTACAGTAAAAGTCTCAACAATTTTACACTGAGGGTCATTGAACGCATCAGGGAGGAAACAGCATTTTATTCTTGTTGTTTGGTTAACATTTTTTAACGTTGGAGCAGACATTTTATTCTGGGCCATATCTGTTCAAAATGTAAGAACACTGGTCTGGTCCACGTGAGGCGCTCAAAGTTATGGGGTAATCTATCTGGGCTGAATTGGTGTCAGTACTGTGCAGGTGTCTGTCTGTGGTATGGTTGTGGGATCAATTCCAGACTCCAGTCTGTGTGCCTGGGTTTTATTTTCACACGAGGACGAGACAAGCTCCCAATAAATATAGAAATATTTTACCATTTGTCCTTGTGATGGATCGCACTAATTAGTGTGGTCCACGTTGGTTATGCAGGACGTGGGCCACATCCTTACTTCTGTGCATTTGCACCTTCAGTCAGACAAATTCCAGCAGTGTACTACAGTGCCACAGGACCGCCCTCCTGCCCGGGGGCATCAGACTCTTTACCTCCTCCTCCCTCTGAGAGTCGTTATCAAACCAACTGCGGAATATTTTACGGTACTCTGAATTTACTGTGGCCTTTTCTGCTCAGTGTTTTCCCCAATAATTCATTCTGTGCAATATTTCGTCAACATCTTTGCAGTTCTCTGATATACTGTGGAATAATTGATAACGTGTTGTATTTCTTACTTCTCACTGATACTTGGCCTGGTATATACATACACTTGTATTTATGATTAAATCATATTCTACTTTTTTTTTTCTGGTGTTTTCTGAACATTTTTTTTTCACTCTTACTGTGTACTCTGATACATCATATCATCTGATTTGCTAAAAATTCCTTCTGTGGGATCAAAGTAAGTTCTGATTCTGAATAACCCAGAGCCTACAGGTTTTAGGCCATTTGGTGCTATTGACTAACTTGTCTAGTCTACATCTGATAACCATAAAGTGGACCTTGCTGCTCCAGCTGCTAAATTTGTGTTATCTGCAGGCATTTCTGGACAACTTTTACTTCTTATCTGCAGTGAGGGTTTTTGTTGTTGGCTAATCTGACCCTTCTGGAACACAGTGGTTGTACCTACATCACAGTGAGTGGTGGAGATGCTGTAGTTGATGAGGCTAACATTACTGGCTCGTGTGTTTGGTCTTATTAGTGCTGCAGTTTTTCATGATGTTAGAAGAAACAACATTTAAAGGAGTACAGTCTGTGTCTCAGCAGCAGCAGCAGCAGCAGCGAGTTTGAGGAAGCTGAACCTAAAACCCTGAATATAAAAGAGGAAAGAATAAAGACCTATGTGTGTGTGTGGGAGTATGAGAAGATTTTCATAATAATCCTGTCTTTTAAAAACCGCCTCAGCAGCAGCAGTAGCAGCAGCTTCTCCTGCTCTAATGAAGGATTTCATTATTTTTATCAGTGTCTGTTTGAACTTTTCTCTCCTCTCATTAAACACTTGCGTCGTTATCGTTTTGCTCAGTGTTTCTTCTTCTTCTTTGTTGTGCAGCTTCAGCTCTTTATCATCTGGTGTTTTGGCTCCGCCTCCCCACAGTTGTGTACAATAATTCACTCTGTCAAGGAAAAATAAAGCTTTCGCTACAATTCATTGCTTTTCTTCATGTTGAGGTAAATGATGCAAATAATATAAAACAGGAGAGAATCACTTGTCTCTAACGTTGTCCTTGCCTGACTGAGAGCTTATGTTTCCTGTTTCTACCTGTTTGCTTGTTTGATGTTACAAACTGTTACACTGTCGGAGTCACGTCAGTACATCTACAGCAGTAGGTGAAAATAAGGATGTATACAGTGAGAAGAAGCTGAAGAAGTAGAATCTAAAAAAAACACAATAACCCATACTTTAACCTTTTGAATAAGGATGTAACGATGAACGGATGATTTTTTGTTCACAGTACAAGCCACGTACAAGCCCACCACTAGGACCCTGCTGACACACTAGGTCATAGCATTAACAGCATTCTAAGACTTCTAATTTGTTTAGTGTTTAAGTGTATGAGTTCCGCTGGCGATTGGGGTGCTTTAATTGGATAGCCTGAGAACGCACATCTTGAATCTGAGAAACTGCATCAAGCGACTTGCATGGCCGAAAATAACGTTTTCTCTCTGACCACTGCTTCTGTCAAGATGATATTCTCAACTTATGCTATAAATACGACAGAACTGACTGGACATTCATCGTTAGCATGGATGGAGATGGAAAAAGACTTGTTGTTAGAACTGGAACACACAAAAAATCTGCACAAAAGAGTAATTCAACAACTCATCCTACTCTTTTTAATAATATTGTAATTGTAGTCTGTTATTGCATGTTATTACATATATGTAATATAAGTCACAGCTGTGGCTGTGTTGTGCTTCGTGGGTTTATTGCTTTAGTAATGGTGTTATTGTGGATACATGAGTTCATCTAGAAAATAATGACTTGTTATACTACGTTTCTACCTAATATCAATGGTTTCTATAGACACAATGAAGGATTTGTTCAGGCAGGACGTCACTGAAGGCTTGGATGAGAAAAGCACCACTGAAATTCAGGCTATATACAAAAAAACGTAATTGTCCTAAGGTTAGAACGATTACCTTAGTAAAGAGCGAGGTTACTAAAATTAGCCTGCAAACAGATATATGTGCGACATCTCTGTTCCCTTCCTGTGTGGAATCAGCAGCCGAAACTGGTGAAAAGAATTTCCTGCGCGTCATCTGTGAATGTGGTTCAGCTGCAGCGAGAATTCACTGATGACGTTTTCACCTCTCTGGCGTCTTCTTCCTCTTCCCACACAAACAAAAGCCAACCTTTGTCTGGAGCTTTTCAAAAACAAACGCACGCTCCACACCTTTATCTCCTCCTCTTCTTCT